TTTCCATTTTCTCAATTTTTTCTTCTAAAGATGAAATATGTTTCTTTTGAGATGAAATAATTTTGTACAGAATTTTGCATGCATTTAAGAGTTCGTCTATTTCACTTTATGCATCGTTATCATAAAGATAAAATTGATTACTAACTTCATCATTTTCATCATCTAAATTATGTGAAGTCATTAATGCAAGATTAACACGTTGATTGCTTTCGAAATCGAAAGATGAACTTTCCCATGCTACATACGCTTTCTTTCACTTCTTATCTTTATTTCTCTTGAAATATTTCTTCTTCTTTTCAAGTGTAGGATATTCACTTTTAACATGTCCCTTTTTTCCATATTCAAAGCATGCAACCTTCCTTATTGGTGCTTCCCTTTTTCTTTCTTTTCGTAGAACCTTTTCAATTTTTTTATAAGATCATCATCTTCACTACTGGTGGATTCATCCTCTTTATTGCTATCATAATTTTTTATCCTTATCTTTAAAGAAATTCCTTTTGAATCTTTTACTTGGATTTCATGATTTTCAAGTCTTGTAAGTTCTGTTTCATATTCATGAAGTTTTCTGAACAAAGTTGCGGAAGTCAGTCTGGATAGATTCTTCTTCTCGGATATTGATGTCACTTTTGGTTGTCATTCCCTGGTTAAAGATCTAAGCACTTTAAGATTAAGTTCATCATTAGTTAAATTCTTACCGAGTGCTTTCAAGTGATTCGTCAAATACACGAATCTTTTCTACAAGTCAAGGATTGATTCTCGAGGCTGCATTCTGAATATTCGTACTCTTGACTCAAAGTATTTAATCACGGTCTTTTAACTGCAGCGGTTCCTTCGTGAGTTTCCACCAAGGTACCCCAAATTTCCTTCATCGTTGTGCATGCTGAAACTCGAAAGAATCCGTCCATGCTAAGAGCACCTTGAAGAAAAATTATTGCTTTCTTATCATAAAGAAATTTTCTTCATCATCTTTATCCCATGAACCTTCGGGCTTTAGAGTCCCAACGCCATTAAAAACATGTGTAGGAACGTGATGACCTTCAATAATGGCTTTCCATACTCCTTTTCCTTGAGATTCTAAATGTGCCTTCATGCGTATTTTCCAGAAGTCGAAATATTCACCACAAAACAATAAAGGCTTGTTATTTCTACCACCGTCTTTGAAAATTGGATTTACATTTGCGGAAGCATTCTGGATCTTTAGAAACAAGTTACCTATAACCTACTTGGATGCCAATTTTAAGTATTGAGTACGCCTAAGAGGGGGGTGAATTAGGACTTTAAAAATTTTTATCCGGTTTTAGAAACAAGTTTGTCTTGTTTTGGTTAAGTGTTTTAAGTGTTTCTTTCTTTTCTGGTTATGATTTATTATGAAAGCGATAAATGCTGAAAAGTAAGAACACAAGTATATATCATGCTTCCTCTCATAGTTCGAGAGTACTCCAGTCCCCTTTCAACACGAAAGAAATTTCCCTATTTTTAGATCTTTGTACAAGCCTTATACCAAGACTTCTCCTACAATCTTCTAACAATAACACCACCAAAAATAATCCTCTTGGATCAAACAAGTTGAAATGAAAACAATCTTCTCACTTTCAACCTCTTGCTTCCAACAATCCTGGACAACAAGAAATATAAAACTAAGTAATCTTAATTCCAACAATCTTGGGAAATAAGATGTGAATATTAAAAGAGTTTTTAAGAATATGAAATTTGTAGATAAATTATCACTTTGAGGGATGTATCAATATAATTTATCTTCCCTTCTAAACAAGAAACTTATAATGATAGAATATAGTGTTGAAGTGTTTGTAAATATAATATGAATTTTCTGGACTCATATGGAAATACATGCAGAAAAATTCTTTGTGAAAGTTCAAGAAGACATACTTATTTTAAAATTTAAATGATAAATAATGATGTTAAATTTTATTGGAAGAGGTTGTTTTCAAATTTGAAAATATATAGTTTATATGGTTCCTTAACACCCTTTTGAAAGTGTGTAAATCATTGAAACAATGTAACTTTTAAAAGGTGTCAATTGTAAAATGTTTAGAATTTTAAAATAGTAAAAACGGATCTATCAACTCAGAAAATCAATTTCTCAATATGGGGTAATTGATTTCCTGCAAAGCGTTGCACCCATAATTCAAAATTAAAATATTGTGCAAATTAGGGCGGTTTTTAGTGTTGTTACGACGGGTCAAACTGCTATAATTTACCAAAAACTGAATGTTTGAAAAATTTTCTAAGTATTTGAACCAAACTTATGCAACATCTATTGATTTATTCAAGTAAATATATTATATTGGAAAGTGATTTAACATGGTTCAAACATGAAAAAAATTTCAAATCCAGGATAAAAAAATATTTTGTTTTAAAGCTAGAAATAGTGAGATATTTTCAACCAAATGAATCATATATGCAAGTGAATTTTGGAGATTATTTTGAGAACTATTTTATCAATATATATATATATATATATATATATATATATATATATATATATATATATATATATATATATATATATATATATATATATATATATATATATATATATATATATATATATATATATATATATATATATAAATTAAGATCAATGAAAGTCTTCATAATATTGCAATCTTTATCCATAGCCATATAGCTTCATGATGCTTTTTCTCATCCTTTGATATATGCACATAGTAGTTATCTTCATCAAAACATAATGTTGAAGAAGCTTGACTTCACATATGTGCACTCTAAATAGGCATCATTATTGAAATAATAGATCAACCCCCATCAGCTCTTACTCCACCCAATGGTATTATGCAGCATTAGCAAGCGGCACTAGACCTTAGTCCTCCTTGTGATAATGTTTCCCCAACTGTCATGTAAAATATAATATTGGTAATGAATTTGGGAAAGGCTTCAAAAATCAATGTGATCCTTAACCTCCCTATAATTGGGATCTCAACCATTCACATCCCTAAAAGAATTCATAAAATAGTTAGCAATTCATTCGTTATGGACGACCTAAGCAGATCCTAAATCTTCAGAAAATCATTTAGGAGGAAAGTGATCGACTCCCACATCCATAACAACAGATGTACCATAGTTAATCTGTTTATCTCATTTGGGGGGAATCTTTTGTACTTCTGAAAAGATGAGAACTAAAAGGTTCCTACCATCTTCAACATAACTCCCTCCAGACCTCGAAATATCAATAGAGACAATAAGGTTTGCAATATGTTGGTTAACCTTTAAAGGTTCAATGTTTGGCATTCCTGGGTTCACTATTCTTATAGCAGAAAAAGAATCATTTCTACTAGATATATTTATAATATTTTCAAGCATATCTTCTATGTTGTCCATATTTAAAACGATGAAAGGAGAAAAATGAACTTTAAACAAGAAAAAGAAAGATGGTACCTAAAGGAGATGAAAAAGAGGTAACATTTAAAGGAAGGTGACTCGAAGGTTGCAATTAACAAAGAAATGTAGAGCCTGAAGTTGGAAAAAGGTTGATAAATGGGTGTTGCTAGAGACCAGAGAAGAAAATTATATTTTATAGAGGAGAAGAAACTTGTTTGCACAAAAGGGTGAAAAAATGATTGAAATGCTAAGTGTTGTTTATATAGGGGAGCACAACAGGCTAATCAATGACCCAAAATAAAAAATAGGGAGGCAAAAAACAATGGTTGGTTCACATAGACATCCTAGAAAGATGTGCCACACTCTAGTCTAGACACCTAAGGCTACACGTCAAAAGATCATATGAAACGTCTCAATGATGTGACTAGCATTTAATACACTTGTTCATTATATTATTTGAAACGACTACGAAACCTCTTCAGCTTCTCCAAGAACTGACCCCGATACGTGGAACTTGACCTATTTCTTTGAAATGCTTCCTGTTGCTACGCCACGAGAAGTCTTGGGGAAAACTGTTCTATTTCGGCTAAAGACCCAATAAGAGAAAACCCGACCTCTAATCCAGGCCTTGGACACCTCAACCAACTGGCATATATAAGATACCCCATATAAAGAAAAATGTATGATTCGCATGCATTATCACTTTCACATTACTTTTTATTTTCTCATTGACTTGAGTGTCAGAGTGTTAGCCTTGCAGGTAAGTTCCTCTCTACTGCACCGAAAATACAAATCCACCACAATAAAAATTTTACCTTATCATTTCCATCTCAAAAAATATAATAAAAGGAGATAAGGACAAACAAGCTTGGATTAGGATAAGAAGAAAAGGTGTATAATTAGTTTTTGACAAATTGTTTTTAAAAAATAAGTCATTAAATTACAATATTATCTTTTATTATTTTTACTAAAAATAAAGGTTGGACTTGTTTGTCCAAATAAAAAAAAAATTATCTGATTAATATAAAAAAATTAGCCGTTGATTTATAAATATCAATAACTTTACAATAATTTTAAATATAAATATATGTTCATGTCAGAGAGTGAACCTTAAACTATCAACTTATAACAATACATAAATATAAATAAATTATAAATTAAGTTGTATATATTAACTCTTAAAATGTTAATTGGGTCGTAGAAATTTTAGTCGTGCAATCTCAAGATATATAGTTTACATACCCTCGTGAACATTTTTTAAATGCTAATTAGTATCATTTAATTAATTAATATTTCTAAATTATTTTCTCCTTTCGCATATATATATATATATATATATATATATATATATATATATATATATATATATATATATATATATATATATATATATATATATATATATATATATATATATATATATATATATATATATATATATATATATATATATATATATATATATATATATTAAATTTAGTATTAGTTGATCAATAATTCAATAATCTAAATGAATTGTTAGAACATACTTATAAAAGCAAAAACGTAAAAAACAAGAAATTAAGCATATTTTATTCTAATTTTGAAAAGATTTTAAAACAACATAAAGGAACACACACGAGTTTTTGCCTATCTAAAAACTTTTAGTGAGTTGAGTGGTTCCACGACATGGCACTCTCATCCGTAGGAAGATAGTTATGGGACATTTGATGATTCAATTGAGTTGAATTAGCACCCACGTTATTGAAGGTTGTTGACATGTGAAAAACAATATTGTTGTTGTTGTGAGATTCATGTGCTAGATGGTCATCATTGTTGATGGCACCATCTTCACGTATTGGTCCACCCTCTTCAATTTGTCGATCATTTCTCTTGATAGAAACCGCTCTATGGAATGTAGTTTTCTTGACAAGAGTGGCATTGATAAAAATAATTCCAGCAGCAATAACTTTTCCACCAACAACTCCGCCAAACACATGCCCATTAATACCAGAGAAATATATGGTAAAAGAGGAACATGGTGGATTAGCTATGAATTGTGAAGGAACGCATTCACAATTAGGATTTACATATGTTCCAAATAAAGATGTCATATGTAATGGTCCTTCGATGGGTAATAACGGGACACAAGATACCGGATCAAGAAGAGTAACATTACATACAAGACCGAAACCCCTCGACACTACTATGTCAACTTGCCGACGTATAGCATAGTTAACTAGAGTCTCCACAATATCTTCTCCAACACAGATCTTAATTGTAACTACTTTTGCCAGGGCTTCTGTGTTTTCCTCAATAATGATGCGTGATTTAGGTTTATTTCTAGAGCCTTGGGGTCTACCCTTACGTTTTTTGGTAATTTCCTCCTTTGGATTTTGAGAGAGATCCATATACCCATTAGAGAAGGTTTGTGCATATGATGGTGGTGGCATCAACAATGTATCGTCGTTGTCATTGTTGGTGGTGGTGGGACGAGAGACTATGTTCTCTAAATACTCATTTTTGAAGTTTGGAGAGAGAGACGAGGGGGAAAGTTTATTGTCAGCCATCATAAGAGGCATGTATTTTATGAAGAAAAGACTAGCAATGTAGTAGGATATTTATAGTTGTTTTGAGTATGAGAGAGACATAGGTTCTATGAATTAGGTTTTCAAATTGAATTGTAATTTTCCTTCTAGATTAACTATGATGTGCACAAACTAGTCTTTGAGGACAAAAAAGTATTTTACATTCTAATGAGAAATATACTTATTATAGAGATGATATGTATTTAACATCAGAGTTTTTGTTCAAACACCAAATATTACTCATTTTTCAATATTATTTAATTAGATTTAAAATAAAAAAGTTTTATACTTACCTAATATTTTATATTTTCTATAAACAAAGATTTTATAATAGTTTTTAAATAATAGTAATTCAATATTTTTATATTTATGGTTTATACCTGTTATACAAAAATAGAGATGTAATGACATAAAGAAATGAGAAGAGGTGTAAAATAATATGAAATATGTATTTAAAAAGTTTTAATTAAAATTTGAGTGAGTTAAATATTTAATACAACTATAGTTTTTATCAAGTAAAACAAAAATCGGGTATAATGCAATTTTGATTAAAGAAAAAGATGATCACACATTTGGGGTGATTCGTATAATGATATAGAAAATATAAATTAAAAAAAAATTAAAAAAATAATGAGTAATAAATAATTGATGATAAATTAAAGTGATTACTTTATTAATTCATCTAAGTTGATAGTTGTATAATTATCTGATTACAACATATAAATTCGAACGAACATGAAATATATCACTTACTCATCTTTAAAGAGGAAGATTTTGATTAATAGTTTATTAAACAAAATGAATAATAATAAAAATAAAATTTATTGTTATTATACAATTACTTATAACTTAAAAATATTTTTTTTAGCAAAGTATCTTATAATTTAAGACAAAGATAACAATTTATAGAAATTAAGAGTCCTTAAAAATATAATTTAAGAGTCTTGTGTAAAATGATGAAGGCGATTTCAATTTATTTTTCTTTTTTAAATTTTAATATCACATATTATATTAATTTTTTATTTGATAAATGAAAAATTAATTATTGTAAATTAATTAACATAAAAAGGTAAAAATATAATATTTATTTTAAAATATATATTAAAATATTTTAAATTGTATTCAAGTATCATGTGATATATTATATTAAAAAATTTAAAATATATAAATTAGAACTAATTCAACTACAATATCCTTGAACTCTTCTCTACATCGATTTAGTTTTAATATCAATGAAATACATCAAAATTATTTTGATATATTCCAGTAAGTGAGTTAATTTTATTGGCCTAGAAACTACCTAAGGGTCCAAGGAAGAACTAGGCGTGTGTCGTCCCAGGATACCCGACCTAGACTCATGTTCATTATCCAACCCATTTAGCTAACATGTAGCAGACTTGATATTCAGTCAAATGCAACACGAGAGGAGGGAATTGTTTCCCCTATAATGGAGGAAGAACCAGTCTTCCTTACTCCAAAGAATCTGTAGGGAAAGTAAGAGAAATTGTTTCTTCTTTTCCACTACCCATCTCAAGAGATCTCTTATATATTTATATTCCCGCCTCATAATTTGGTAGATTCATTCACTAATTCCTGGAATATCGAATATGCAGATTCTCTTGCAATCAAATATGTGAATAAATGTTTCCCTTAATTAATTTCACAAGTACAATTGGAACACACCGTGAGGCCTCGATAAGACTAACCTAGACCACACTCACATCCATTTTTTAACCCCCTTAGCCACCCTCTTTAATATGATTACACGATGAGGCACTACTATAGCTAGTAGCCCAAGTTGTAGCGACCAAGAAACCCTAGCAAAGATATGGTATGTTATGATATAGGTGCTCCGCTCCAACCAATGTTTGGAGGAGAATGTCCTAACCCTCCAAGAGCGGCACCATGAATACTTACAGGTAAAAGATGAGATCTTGGACCTCTAGCCTCTCTGTGGTGAAATTTGGAGCACTCTAGTGCCAAAGAACTTCCATAAGGCAACACATGGTGGTAAAGATGAATTATCCCATCCATCAATTTCTGAAGAAGCTTGACCTGGAGGGAATAATGGTGCCTTGGTCATTAGAAATATCTGAATATGGTATCAATTTTGTACTAAGAGGCAACATCAAATCTCATATTCTGGCGGACTTCCTAGTAGAATTTAGCTCCCTAGTGAGTTAGGAGGTCTGACACGTCTGGATCTTGTTAGTAGAAGGTTCCTCAAACCTTAAGGGCAGAGGCGGTGGGGTAGTATTGGAAGTCCCATACAACATCCTTATAGATAAATTCTTGAGGTTTGAGTTCAGAGCCAGTAATGATCAAGCTGAATACAAAACCCTTGTCATTGGAATGAACCTCGTCATAGAAATTGGCGCTTCAAATATAAGAGCTTGAATAAACTCTCAATTGATCGCCAATCAGGTATCCAGAGACTATTAGATGAAGGAGGCTCATCTCGTAAAATAGCTTCAAAGAGTGTAAGACTTAGATAAATATTTTAAATTCTTTGAGATAGTTTATGTTCCTAGAGAGTAAAAAGTTCTTGCGGACCACTTATCGAAACTCCTCAGCATTAAGAAGCTAGGTCATAATAGAATAAAAATACATGAAACTTTGTATGTAGCCAAAACACAAAAAGAAGAGTCTGAGCCTTAAGCCTTGCCATTGCCCAAATACTTGATGGGCAAACATTCACTCACAAACTATTGATGGGCGGTTATTTTTTACCAAAATTTATAAAGGACATTGCATATTTCATAAAAAATACAACAAGTACCAAAAAAACATTCTAATTTCTCCATGCACTGGCCGAGTTTCTCCATTTTATCGTGCCCCCTGACCCTTTTACTATTGGGGCCTGGACATCTTGTGTCCCTTCCTCTTGGCACTAGGTTAGTTGAAACTCTAGATCGTGGAAGTTGACTACTTCACAAAGTGGATAGAGGCTGAAGCCTTGTCCAAGATCATATCAGATAGAATGCAAGGTTTCTACTAGAAGCGTCGCATTTGCAGGTGTGGTTTTCCAAGGACTATTGTCTCAAATAATAGATTTCAATTCTCCGTCTCACTTGTGGTGGAATTCTGTCATCAATTGAGAAATCACATAAAATTCAATTTAGTCATCCATCCCAAGCAAATGAACAAGCAAATTGAGGCAACAAGGTGATCATATGTTGGATAAATAATAAGATTAATGACGCCAAAGGTATGTGGACTGAACAATTGCACGAGCTATATATTTTTCATCATTGGCTCCATTTAATCTAACATTTTTGCCTAAGGCGTACAATCATATTATATGCAAAGGTTTTATGGTCATATCATACAAGACCTTGCTCAACCACTAAGGAAATACCATTAAAGATGGTTTATGGTGCAGATGTCATGTTGCTAGTGGAGATTGACACACCCACGTGGCTTTGTGAGCATTTCAATGAAGAGGATAATGAAGTAAGACTAAGAGTTACTTCTAACGTGATTGACAAGACTAGACAGATTCCCCATATCACAAGTTCATATCAAAATAAAGAGTTTTCAGTCGATACAACTCCAAAGTAATCCCAACAAAGATGAAGGAGGAGGATTTTGTACTTAAACAGGTTATTGCGCCTACTCGGATTGGGAAGTTGCTTCATAATTGGGAAGGATCCTATCAAATATTCCAAAAATTGCCACATGGTGCTTACAAGCATGAATAAGAAGAAGGCATGACCTTATTACTATAAAGAAAATAGACTAGGTCATGTTAGCTATCATTTCCGTAGCATAGGCGTGCACCAACATTTTGAGTACGAAATTATGTACGACTAGATATATTTGCATGCATATAATCAATAGTACATAATGATAATTCCTTCTTAAGACAAGAGCTAGTGTGGCTAAGCATTAAATGACACACTTGTTTCCCAAGTAACGCTTGAGGGACTCTCCCTAAGACAAGCGTGAGGGACTCGTCCAAGCAACACTTGAGAGAATCTCCCTTAAGCAGCGCTCAAGAGACCGTACCAACCAACACTTGATAGACTCACCTTAAGTCAAGCTTGAGAAAATCTACCTAAGGCACGCTTGAGGGAATCTCCACATTTTATGTTTAAGGACTCATGCTTGAGGGACTGTGCAATGAGATTACTTTATTGGGCCTAGGAAGAAACCTCATGAAGGACCTAGAGAGAAACAATCTAAAATACCAAAAAAAACTGGGCGTGGTGACCTAGGTCGATCGACTCTAACCATGGTCTCCCGACCTGAAATCATGCTCATTATTTGATTCATTTATTTAACACGTGGCTGACATGATATTCAGTCAAATCCAACATGAAAGGAAGAAACCATTCTCCATGGAGGAAGAAATGGTCTTTCCCTACTCTCAAAAATTCATAAGGAAAGTAAGAGAAAGTATTTCTTCCTCTGCATTATCTAGCCTGAAAAATCTCCTACCTATATTCCAACTTCAGAGTTTAAGATTCATTCACTAATTTGTTGAAAGCCCAGATACAAAATTTTGGCAAATACGAGAGTAAACTCTCTTTTTATTGTATTTCACAACTACAATATATAAAATAAATAGGCAAGGCCAAATTTCAAAGATATATTAAAAGATATATCATTCATATATCAAATCACTTGAAGTTAATGTTAAAGTTAAATTTTATGTTAGAACAGTGAATAAACATAATAAGTGTGGTAATAGTTTTTAATTTAAAGGTGAATTTCATAATACGAATATGTGGAAAAGAATATGCAAATATATCAATATACACTATAAGAAAATCTGTGTTTAATTACGATAAAAATATGATATAATTTGTAGCTAATCTCTATCAAACAAAATTAGTGGTAGATTAACTGTGGATTAACTACAACATAAACCGTAGTTTAGATTGAGTAGCTAATCATCTAGACCAGACTTTTTAATAAAATACCATCTAATATTTAAAATTTCCTAGCTAAATCAAAACTAAAATGTAGCAAAACCTGAGTTTTAAACTTAC